GAATAGAATAGAATAGAATAGAATAGAATAGAATAGAATAGAATAGAATAGAATAGAATAGAATAGAAGCAATGGATGGAAACTGATCAAAGAGAGAAGGAACCTATATCTAAGAAGAAAGAACAATTAATCAGTGGAACAACCTGCCTCCAGAAGTTGTATATGCTCCAACACTGGAGATTTTTAAGAAGAGACTGGACAGCCATTGGTCTGAAATGATATAGGGTTTCCTGCCTGAGCAGGGATTGGACTAGAAGACCACCAAGGTCCCTTCCAACTCTACTACTACTATTTATTATTGTTGTTGTTATTATTATTATTATATATCTGGGCACAATTTCTCTCCCATAATTCTCCAGCTGTATAAAGAGCCCAGCCTTTCCCTCCCTGCAGCCTCTCACCCTTCAGGGCCAGATCCAGAGGTTGTTGCAAGCCATCGTGCTCCACGTGGCACCGATAGCGGCCCCTCTCCTTGGGATCGATCTGGATTCTGAGCGAGTAATAGTAGGTCCCATCTGAGTTGGGGGCCAGAGACTCATGGAAGATGTCTTGCAGCCAGAATTCCCCATCCCTCCTCCAGGAGGCATCGATCTCCCTGGGGTAGAAGCCGTGGATTCGGCAGACGTGCCTCTCCATACCATCAGCTTCTGTCCTGCTGCTCATCGTCACCACTGGAGGAACTGGGGGGAAAAAAAAGGCTGTTAGAATCAAAATTGTGCCTCTCCGGAAATTAGCTTGACATGCATCGTACGTGCAACCAGAACTAGGAGTCTCCAAATAAATCAAGCTGCTTTGAATAATTTCTTTCGGCCAGAAAAACAAACATAAAAGCACTTTATTAAATACAGTTAACCCTTGACTTACAACATTTACTTATTGTTCAAAGTTACAATAGCACAGGAAAAAGTGACTTAGTTTTTCACAGTTACAACCGTTGCAGCATCCCCATGGTCACATGATCAAAATTCAGATGCTAGGCAACTGACTTGTATTTATGATAGTTGCAGTGTCCAGGGGTCATATGATCACCTTTACGACCTTCCGACAAGCAAAGTCAGCGGGGAAGCCATATTCTCCTAACAACCGTGTTACTCATTTTAACAACTGCTGTGATTCACTTAACAACTATAAGTCGTAAAATGGGGCAAAATTCACTTAACAAATTTCTTGCTTCGCAACAGAAATTTTGGGCTTAATTGTGATTATAAGTCAAGCTGTATTATTATTTTCTCTGTTGCCTTGCAAGTACACTGAGTGTTTCTGTCCCGGAGACAAATTCCTTGTGTGTCTAATCACCTGTGGCCAAATCAAGTATTCAATTCGATTTGATTTGATTCGAATTAACTCTTCTGGTCCTGCTTCCTGTCTGGATTACTGTCATGGTTCCGACTAACGAAACACTTCAAAGAACTTCAAGGCATTGTTTATCCTAAAAAGTCTTTAATCGTGAAACAAAGTGTCGGCACAGCATGGTGGATGCCAAGATCTGAATTCCCCTCCCCTGAGCACATAATATTCAATCATAATTCCCTCCTCTAATTTGCGGTCATAAATCATATTCTCCAATCAGTTTGAAGGGCAAAGTTTCCCTTCTGTTCTGTAGCCAGAGGTTTCTTATCCCCACACAAATTCCCCACACAAATTCTTTCTTCCCCCCTCCCAGCATCATCTAATTTAACTCTAAAAGTACCACACATCTTATACAGAGAGTGGCTGCCTCTTCATATTTCGTCAAAACAAGAACATCCAATGTTAGCAGCATTGACAATTACCTTACAAGATTGACACTACTATTTCCACTTCTAGAGACTGATTTTTAAAAAAAAATATCAGAGAGGGCTAAAAACAAGGGCAGCATCAAGGCTGCAATCGCTTGGACGACTCCCAGATTATTCCTCGGAGATCTGGAACCCGGTTAAATAATGACTCTGAACAGTCAGCCGAAAGAGAATCAGAGGAGGCTTCAGCTGGGGAAAGTGCGCAGGGGCAAGACAGCCAGCAAAAGGAGGAGGAACTGCCTCCTGCACCTTATCCGAGAGCACACAGGGCAGAGAAAAGGCAGTCGCAATGGAGGTCAGCCAGATTACTCGGGAGGAGAAGGCCCTGCCCATCTTGATAGGCTAAACTGGGAAGCTGGGTATTTAAGATAGCAGGAATATGGAGGCATTACTGGGAACGTGTCAGTTTGCCGGCTGTTTATTTCCTCGTCATGATTTCTGCTTCACTGTGTTTGGAATCATGCCTTGGAGACTCTGAACCTTTCTTGCTAAGTGAGCTTTCACGTGTGTATTTAATTTTGGCTTGGTGGATTTAAGTTTGTTTCGTGGAGCTATTTGTTTGAGCAACTTTCACTTATTTATGGACTATTGACCAGTTGCTTTGTGGACTAATCTTGGATTGCTTGTGGCTGAGCCCATAGGGACAGTTCTGAATATTGGTAAAGGGAATTACTGGGGAACATTAATACACTCACTAAACCACAGTTACGTGGGTGTGACTGAGTGGGGCAGCACATCGGCTGACGATCACCAGCAGAAAACAAGCCAACTGGGTCATCTGGCCTGTTCTTTGCCAGCAAACCTACACAGGAAAAACTTGCAACACTTAAGCAGATGCAGCTCCCATACTTTCTCTCTGGCTGTTTCCCCATACCTTCCCTCAAGGATATCTTTGATCTGTAGTGGTCATACTTCTGCAGCCACTCCGTGCAGATGCTCTCCAGGAAATCTGTGAATCGCTGATTGGCGGCAGTTTCAACCTTCTGCTTGATCTCCTGGGCTTCTTTGTCAGCTGCTGTCCAGATGCCGGTCGCCATCTCGTAGCTAAGGAAATCCCGCCCATCATAGCCGTAGTGCCAGTGGCCGTTCCTTTTCCCATCTTCCCCCACTTCACAGAAGATCATCATCTGGACGATGTGAAAGCCTAAAAGAAGCATCCCCATGATTAGGAGGAAAAGCTCTCTAGGAAATCAGAGAAAGCCACTTCCTGCTGGAGCTCCAGATTCTGTGACTGCTGAGACAAGAAAGCAAAAAAGACAAGGATTACAGGAAGAGATCTTGAAGGCCAGTCGAGGTTGAGACAGAATTTGGGATCTGTAAGACAGATGAAATCTCACTATAAAGGAACTCACTATAAACAAGGCTGGGAAATTCTTCA